CCAGGTGGATTGCTTCAGAAGTTAGAGATTCAGGCGTTTTTTTTTTTTTTTTTTTTTTTTGAATAACAATTATATGAATTCATTTTAGTAATGACTATTTCAGTACATAAGATAAAGAAAAACTAATTATTTAGATACATATAAGAACTACTTCTCATGCTATACAATAACAGATGAATACACTTTTACATTTTCATTTGATAATTAAACTTTACATCCAGAGATAACATTCGATGGTATGACTTTATATATCAAAATCAGCGACTAGATAATTCAATGACGTGAAATTGAAACAGACATAACATTTCAGGTTTCAGATCTATCAAAACAACCCCTTAATTATCCAAATGTTCCCTTGCTGACAAGAGACTGGTCAAATTGGGTCTACATTCAATTAAGTGAAAATCTCGCCGTGCAGTTTATAGATCTCAAGATCCTACTGAAGCAACAACTATGGTCTTCTTGAACCTAATTTTGGCCCCCCAACTCTTATTCTCGCTACTTGGCGGACCAAACTAGATTTTCTCCTGCTAACTGTATGCATGTCAAGCAGAATCATAAACAAGGAGAAAGATACCTGCTAAGTTCAAAATAAGAGCACTTCTGGTGGTCAAAAGCTTTTGCGTAAAACCAGTGTTCCCTATCTAGTATTTTTAATGTATAATATAGAAAATGGATTCTGAATAACTTGTTTCTTTTTAGTCTCCTGCCATGCCTTTAGCCTAAGCTTAAACATCTTCAATATTGGGAGCTTAAACATCTTGTGTATGTCAATGTAAGCCACAATCCAAAATGCAAACTGAGAATGGAACAGAATGGTGCCCCTGGACTCTCGGCAGTGTCGGGCTTAACCCAAGAATAACCTTAACAAGCTAAATTACTTTCTTCTATTTATGCTCCTTCCATGTAATCAGAAGACATGTCATCACCGAACATGCTCCTAGAGCATTGGTTATAAGTATATTGAAGCATTATCCTCACACGCTCGAGAAATCAAAACTAAGCACAGAAGTGATAATAGATTACACCACAGCAGACTGATATGAACACTTTTACAACAAAGCTATTAGTGCACCAACATGAAAAGACCTTCAGTCAACCACACATCCAGATAATCATAACAGATAGTGTAACTTGCCTTTATGTAGAAAGGGCCCAAGCGGATAAGAGTTTCACGGAACTGCAAAAAAAAAAAGGGATAACTAGCTCATTGTTAAGGCCAGCGTGGATAACAAATTACCCACTTGAAGTTCAGTAAACAGATGGAAAAAAGTAGAAATAATTAACAGTCATCAGATAACTTTCTCCGAAAAGCATCAAATACCTCTCTCATCAAATACTTCACTAAACTAAGGTCAATATGAACCATAAACAATAGAAAAGAACAAATTAACAGGGAAACGAGAATGCCTGTCTTAATAAAAGCTGAAACCCAATTTAGAGAATTATATGAAAATGCATATCTGATGAAATACGAGAGGGGAAAGATTAAGCAAAGACTATAAAACCACAAAATTAACTATCCACCTTCCTCATCAGCACAAAGTGAAAGGCAATAGAATCCATACTTTTTAACAACCAAAATCTTCAAGGAGCAGCAATTCTACGATTCACAGACATATAGGTATCAACTAGCTCAGGACAACGGGAGGAAAGCATATCTTGATACTCAATTCAATAACAGCTGATTGCTTGACAAAACAGCATGTGAAAATTTCCATTCAAATCACTATAATAAGTATACCTAAATGAAGGTGCTCCCAGTTAATTTGAAAAACTTATAGTATTAAAGAACTACATTTGAATATGTTGTCGGCTTGTCGCCCATTTTGCACAATGAGGATTTTGCCAAGCTCCAAAAAAGAAGTTACTTGTGGAAGTTCTTCCGTGAGGGCAAAGACTAGTCTATTTTGGTGAGGATTTACAACCTTGAATTGATCTTTCTTTATTTTCGCCTTCTTTATTTCTTTAATTTTTCTGTCTACAGCAATAAGGAAAGGTATTATGAGGCACTCTACCTGTTAGGTGTGATAAATAAGATGTGATAAGAATGGACTTTGGGCCTAACTCAACCCCAAAAGCTAGCTTATTAGGTGAGTATTGCCCAAGCCATATAAGGAGACCAAGGACCTCAAATCCCTCCGATGCGGGACAACTCAACACCCGCCTAGGCCTTTGGAACGTGGACAACATAAATGGGGCCCAACATCGGTAACAATAACTGGGATGGGCCTGGCTATGATACCATGATAAGAATGGACTTTGGGCCTAGCTCAACCCCAAAAGCTAGCTTATGAGGTGAGTATTGCCCAAGCCATATAACGAGACCAAGGACCTCAAATCCCTCCGATGTGGGACAACTCAACAAGATGTTATGGTCAAAGCATGTGAAGTTAGTGCCAGTACTTGGTAAAAGAAGAAATAAAGGTTTTCCTTTCCTCTACTTCTCCATTTTATCATGCAAGGTTTCTAGAAAACACTTAACAAAACATGGTGTTTTCACAGCTTTCATGCTCTGAAGCTGAAAAATCCACTTTCTGATCCATTGAATGCAATTGACCAAATAGAAAGCACACCTTCATCTGTCAAAAAATGCCTATAGAACACCTACAGTAAAAAATATCTGATCGGTTATATGCAATTGACCGAATAGAAACCACACTGTCATCTGTCAAAACTCAAAATGCCTATAGAACACCTACAATAAAAAAATCAAACCTTTCAGATAGAATTTCATTGGAGAACTGAATATACCTTAACAGCACGTCTTCTTATGTCATGGACAAATAAGCGCCAAATGGTTAGCTTCAACACATAGAATGAGATAATGGTTGCTCTGTACAAAGCCAAGAATGGGCCAAAACGATATAATGACGAAAGACTTTTCGACTTATAAGTAAGTGCATGACCAAATTCGCTTTCTAGTGATTCTTTCCTCAACTTAGCATACTCAGCAGTTGGCCTTTCCCCATGCACACTGGAAAAACCAGTAGAAAAGCTGCACCAAAAGCGTATTAACTCATGAATTAGGGGGTGACAAAGGAAACTCCTTAGGAAGAAATTATTCCACCCCAGACTGTATGCACAAATGTTACTAGAAAATAAAACGAGGGTGGTGAAGGAAATAAATTGATTAATAATGCAAAAGAAAAGTACAAGGGTGCCCAAAAAACAGTATTGAACTGGTTCAATAATCAGCTACATATCAAAAGAGAGGACACAAATCAAATATTCATTCGCTTACTATTTTGGGGCTGACAAATATGATCCCACAAAATTGTCATGCTTTCCAGTTAGAATAACCTCAGGGAAACTACTGGATGAGTATTCGCACAAAGCAGTCTCAATTGAGCAGCCAAAGCGCAGAGCTGGAGAGAAGAGTCACCACATAAGTTGTTGTTATTAGTTAAATAAGTGGAGCGATAACATCATATCAGAACCTGACTTAAAAGCTTAAACTTCATCAGTAATAGGCAGAGGATAATGACAGCTACATCGACAAAATATGAGAAACGCTCAAAAAGGTGACACCTGGTCTTAAAAGCTACAAGAGTCAATTTTTCACAAGCAAGATGCTGGTTCAAAGGGAGGAGATACAAATCCAAATAAAGTGAGCAAGTTCAAAAGAGCCCGATGTAAAATATATTGAATATGTATAATTCAACCATGAAGAAGAAATTCCACACAGGATTTTCACACACTCTATATAGCAGCCGAGAATATAGCCAAGAACCACGGAATTTACACAAGGGATCAGCAGTGAGTGCGTACTTTTTACTTGAATGAGCTAACTAACACCATCACATGGTGTATGCTATTTGCTAAGAATGTAGTGTCATTTGACGAAATCAGGGAGAGTGTCAACCCAAAATGTGAGCTGCAGAGAAGCACTCTAAAAAGTAAAGGTTTTAGGATAAGTAAAGGTAAGATTGCATATATTTACTGCTAGTCTAGACAGCATAAGAAGAGTGAAGTTGAGGGGAGATAACAGGGATTGCGGTGAATGCAAAGAATTCAGATACCTAAGCTCGATATTCCAAAGAGGATGGGATGATAGTTCAGAATGTTACACAGAGAATTAAGATGGGATGATTAGCATTATATAATAGGCAAACAATATTCTGAATGCCCACTGTTCCTGCAAATAAAATTACCCAGCTAATTCCGTGAAGAACTTTTAAAACGGATTTCACAAATATCATTTGCCTAAGCACGATTAGGGAAATAAAAATGGCAATTACTTGGGGACAGCACTGCAAGACGCCGTCGTTTAAGGCATGAAATGATACTCCTCATCGGCTGCTGATGGGATACAACAACGAAATGAAAAAGACAGTTTGAGTGTTCATATAATAACCTTCTCCAGCGGTGTCTGGTAATTCAGCTGCATAAAGTGTTTGAGAATATGCCTCTGAAAAAGGTAAATTCAGGCGGAGCTATTGAATTGAAGCTGCGGCAACGGTGCTTCGTTTTGCTGCTTTGCCGCTGCCCGCTGCTTTCTTGCTGCTGGTGCAGACTTGGGACCTAAGAATGTGCCACGTTTCGCTTACGTGGCTCCCAAGCAGAAAGAGTGAGAGTGAGCAACAACTCACACAATGTTAAAAGAAAAAAAGAAAAAAAAAAGTTAGTAATGAGTTCCTTATCACTTAAATTTACAGGGCTTTTGAAAATCGATGCATTAATTTTGAATTTTTTTTTTGAATACTCGAACTCATGATTCTCTTAACTAATAAACACATGTGACCCTTGAACCTATGCGCGTGTATTACACATACAGAGACGTATCCATCCAGTCAGCAAATAACCAATCCAAAAGTAAGACCCTAGCCAACTAATGCCATATGTAATTTTTAAATAAATATTGTCACCTATATTTATATTTTAAAAATAAAAATAAATACAATAACAAAGAAAAAACTTAAACCCTTACAGCTTCCTCTTCCCCGTTCCTTCCCATCATCCCCCTCCCCCCTCCACACACCTGCAACTTATTCGTCTACTTCCATATCAGCACTCCCTTCCTAGGTTCTTCTTCGTCCTCTCCTCTCTCTCCAAATTTTTCTTATTTTTTTCTAGCTAGGTAGATTGCCGGAGAAATTTTTCGAACAGTACTTTCGCAGAATTGGTTTTCTTTAAAGTTGTAACAATTAATTCGTTGTAGTGGCCAATTGGCGTGACATCCTCAGCAACAGGAATCGATTGGCATTGCTCTTGGGCGATTTGGACCACTAGAACGCCATCTACGACCAACTGGAGCTCGCCGGAGAGTTGCAGGTCATCAGAAGTGGTGATTCCTACAGTGAAATCTCCTGATTTTTGGTGGAGATGTAGTTCTTGGTGTGCAGAACAATCTCTACGGCTTGGAATTGCAAGATTGAATGGTTAAAAATTGAAAAATAGTCAGACCCGATGAATTGAAGTGGCTTTTCTCTAAATCTGACCCGATGAATTTTTTTATTTTTTAAAATTTTATTTATCATCTTTTTTTAATTATTTATCATATTCATGCGCTTAATACCGGTGATTAACGCGCAATTGGCCACATCAGCTATAATATTACCACATGAGCATAGTCAACGGTCAAAGGTGTTTATTAGTAGATATTTTTTCAAGTAGAGGTGTGCAAATGGGAAAATCCAAAGTTCGTATATCGACTTTCAAAAGCCCTTCAAGTTTAAGTGGTCACGAAGTCATTTCGCCAAAAAAAAACTGACAATGTCAATTTGTCGTGGCAAATGTGCGGGTTGAGTCGGGTTTGAATGGATTGAAAATGGGTCAAATACTCAAATAAAATTGGTCGCTACCCAATTTATCCATATTTCAAGAGGGGCAAAAATGAGTTGCCTATGTGAGGAAATCATCTAACTTTAGCGAAGCCAAACAAGAAATACTAGAACAACGGAGAATGTAGAAATATACCGTTACTCATTTTCAACTCGTTCCAAAAAAGTTTTCAATTTATTTTAATGTGAATTAAAAACGATTTGGCTCTTATTTATTATATATACTAATTTTAGTGTATATGTGTTGTACGTGTGTTCCGCATAATTAATAAAAAAATATATACAAATATATATATATATATATATATATATATATATATCATTGCGCATGTATAACTAGCTTAACAAGTGCAAGCAGAGCAGCATTGTTCCAGCTAGAATGTTGAGAGCTTCTCTCTCTAGAATTCAATAGTCACCTACTAACAATACAGAACATTTTCCACCAGCTGTAACAACAGCCTGCAAACATGAGCGAACCAAATTCAAACCAAGTAACTACCAACCCTGATTGTGAACCTCCGGACATGGGAACTATACAAATTGATGAACCTATCCTGCCTACAGCAAAAGCCTCTTTCCTACAAATGTTATGTTCTAACCCATGTGCTATCCCCTTCCCCAAATCCACATGCATTATTCCTACAGAAGCAGACCTATCAGATGAAAGTATTGCGAGTGAATACGATGATAAAATTTTCATCGCTCTAACAACTACTGATAAAGCCAGACTCTATTCGCCCTGGCAATTTTCAGTCATTATCAAACTTTTTGGGAGAAAAATAGGCCACCAAATCCTTCGTACCAAAATCATCTCTCTTTGGAAGCCTGCTGAACATCTCACACTGATTGATCTAGGGTTCGATTTCTTTTTCATTAATTTCACTAAAGAAGAATATATGCATAAGGCACTTCATGAAGGTCAATGGTTCATACTTAACCATTTCCGAAAATGGGAACCCAAATTTATCGCCTCCACTACACAGCTAACATACTCAGCCCTATGGGTTCGTCTGCCAGATTTACCCACTGAGTTTTATGATCTAGAAATACTAAACAGAGTTGGCTCAAAATTGGGGCAACTATTAAAAGTGGACACATGCACCTCCTCTACCACTAGAGGCTGGTATGCCCGTATATGGTATCGAAGTTCCCTAAGAAAAGCCGCTTAAAACCCATATTTATATAGGGAACCACAAACAAATATTGCTATATGAGGGTCTCAACTTACTCTGCATTAAGTGCGGCAGATTTGGGCATGCTTCATGGAACTGTGTCTATGCTCCAAAGGCAAACAACAACCTAGACCTTCCCACATCGCCGACAACTACGGCTTTCTCTCAATCTCACCAAAACAAGCCACCAGAGGAAACAAAATGGAAAGTTGTTACTTTCCCAAAAAATGCTGACACCGCCTTGCCCACGACAAGTCAGTCACCCAGGTCATCGAGGCTATAACAGGAGACGGCAGTGGGAGCTACAATGGTAAACAACACCCCAGGTACAACCCTTCCACTCTAATGGGCTTTCTAAAGCCCAAAAAAATGATTAAGGATCCTAAACAAATTCATACTACACTAGTTAATCAATTCTCTTCTTTAAGTGGTATAGACCCAAATCTATCCGGTGTGGATCAACTTAATAGCAATCCACTAACTACGTACATATTCGGATCATTGCCCTCTCCTACTTACTCTAGAAACTAGGCGGTCTCCTTTCCACAAAATTTTTAGATTTGAAACAATTTGGACTACGCACCCAGAATTTAGGGAGTTAGTGTGTAAAGTCCGGGAGGAAAACTCTTCCCTTATTCAAACTACTAATAATTTTCAACATGTGGTCATGCAATCGTATAGGAATACTTTTGGCAACATCTTTGCAAAGAAACAAAAAATATTAGTTAGACTAACAGGTATTCAATCCTCCATCCACTATTCAACTAGCTTATTCCTACACAACCCTGAACAATATCTCACAAATGAATTTAGCAATATACTACGATTAGAGGAAGAATTTTGAAAAGTCCCGTATCACTTGGCTCAATGAAAGTGATGCTAACACCAAATTCTTCCATATGTCAACCCTTCAACGACGAAAGAGAAATAGGATAACTGCACTGAAAGATACAGGTGGAAATTGGTGGTTTAACCCTCCTGATATACACAATTATATCCAGGAACATTTCTAACAATTGTTCACCACAGAGCACATTCAATTAGTATACCAGCGTCAAGACTCTAACACCTACACATTCAGTACTGTTGACTTTAACTCCTTGGTAGAGCCATTACATGACTCAGAAATTATTAACTCAATCTTCTCATTTAAACCCCTTAAAGCACCAGGTCCGGATGGACTACATCCTTACTTCTATCAAACTTATTGGCATGAGGTGGGTCCAAAGATTACCACTTTTTGTCATCAAGTCCTTGAAAATATGACTATCCCGCTAGAAATTAACACAACTTATCTTTGCTTAATTCTAAAGGTGAAAAATGCACACACTATTAACTAATACCAGCCCATTAGCCTTTGTAACACTATCTACAAGATTATCTCTAAAATCATCACTAATAGGATTAAGCCCATCCTATCTCAAATAATCGAACCAACACAATCTAGTTTCCAACAAGGCACGCGAGCTTCTGATAACGCCATCATCATTCACGAAACCCTTACATACTTCCAAAGAAAGAAAGGGAAAGTTAGCAACATGCTATTAAAATTAGATCTTGAAAAGGCTTTTGATCGTATAGAATGGTCCTTTGTCAGGAAAGCATTACTCTTCTTCAACTTCCCTCCTCCTCTAATTAAGCTTATTATGTCTTGTATTACGACCTCTACAACCTCCATTCTAATCGATGGCACAAGCATCCCATATTTTTACCCGTCTAGAGGAATTCGTCAAGGTGACCCCTTGTCACCATACCTCTTTATAATGTGTATGGAAATGCTTTCACGTAGTATATCTCTATCCATGGATTATCTTCAATGGCAACCGATAATATTATCTAAAACAGGACTTATTCTATCACACCTATTTTTCGCGGACGACATCATCTTAATAGACAAAGTTAGCAAAAAAAAGTTGTCATGCCATTATAGACACACTGAATTACTTTATCGAGCACTCAGGCCAAAAAGTTAATTTCCAAAAATCTAAGATATTTTTTTTTCCAAATATTGCTGCCAAGCAAACAGGAATTTCGACTTAGTTCTTTCCAAATGTCGAAAGGAAATACTTTTAGTAAATACCTAGGATTTCCTCTCTTTAACTCACGACCAAAAATAGACTTCTAATTCCTGCTAGATAACTTCAAACACAAACTAGTTGGATGGAAAACTAGTTGAATGACCATGGCAGGGCACACTACTCTCATTAAATAAACTCTTAATGCTCTTCCGAACCATGTTATGCAATATATTTCCATTCCACAGTCCATTATTAATAAAATAGAACAATATCAATGCAACTTTCTATGGGGTACTACAACCACAAAGAAAAAAATGCATCTAATCAAATGGGCCAGAATTACCTCACCAAAAGAGTTAGGAGGATTAGGTATTCAACATATTTACTAGTTAACGCTTTTGCTTTGCATCTTTCTTCTGGATTTCATGTTCCTATTTTTCCTATGATTTCTGTGGTGATACTAATATTGTCTCCTTTTGTCTTTTTTTTTTCTTGAGCCGAGGGTCTTTTGGAAACAGCATCTCTACTCCTTTAGGGTAGGGGTAAGGTCTGCGTACACACTACCCTCCCCAGACCCCACTAGAGAGATTTTACTGGGTTGTTATTGTTGTTGTTGTTGCAAGCTTAGCATGGAGATTGTTTCAATATCCTCAAACACTGTGAGCTAGGACATTAATCAACAAATACATTTCTATATCATCCACAGTCAATCATACCTCAATCTGGCGGAATATACTCAAAGGGTGGCAACACTGCCAGCTTGGTCTACAATATAAAATAGGAACGGGAGATCACATTAGTTTTTGGTATGACCCTTGGATTAAAGCGGGTACACCCCTTCGCTCACTTATTCACGGGCCATTACCAAAAATACATCAACAAGTAAAAATTACATCACTTCTTCACCAACAAGAATGGGATTGGACTAATATCCTGTTTGACCTACCTTTACACATAAAAAATAATATCCAAACACCTTACATATCCAAGTATAAAAAAGGAGCAGACCACACATTCTGGGGACTGACATCTTCCGGACATTTTTCTGTTCAATCCAAATATAAAGCATTAACACATCACAACAATCAAAATTCTTCTCACACAAATACTTTCCAATGGATTTTGGCTCTGCCAATCTACCCTAAAATTAAAACTTTTCTTTGGCTCCTTAACCACAATAGGCTGCCCAGACTTCAGTTCCTTCACTCTATCAATATTATACAAAATGCAACTTGTCTATACTGCCAAATAACAGACGAGTCTATAACACATATCTTTCTAAATTGTGAAAATGCCAAAACATATTGGACATCACTAGGACTCCATGGCCACATACAAACACTCACACATATGGACCATCCACAACAATGGCTACATTATTTAATTAGTTCTAAAACATCTACCTTACCTTATGGGATTAATCCTCGTACTTTTCTTTCCTTAAGTCTTTGAAATATTTGGTTAACTCGCAATAAAAATATTTATAAACAAACCAATGGCACTGTTATCGCCATTTATACAATCCAACAAGCTATTGAGTTTTGTTATTTAGTGGCTTCATCTTTCAAAAAACCTTCAGGCAGCAGAACTTCAGGCACCGATCCAAGGGCTTCAAATAGCTATTTAGTTCAATGTAACACCTCTTCAAGTGGAATTAGATGCAAATGAGGCAATCACTATGCTATATAATGACAATATTATATACAATAATATGTTGTTTGACTGCAGGTACCTACTCCAGCAGCTCCATAGCCCTCAAATACAACATGCGTACAGAGAGCAAAATAGGATAGCGGATCAACTAGCCAAAGCAGGTAGCTTTTTGGAAAGTAATATGGCTATGCGACCTTTTGAAATACCACCACATTTTGTGTGCCGGCATTTTGAAGCAGATAAGCAGGGGACAACTCTTATGCGCCTAATCCCACACACAACAAAGCAAGCAATTGGAGATCATGATGCAGTACCAGTTTTGAGCAACCAATGGGCATCAACCTCTGCAACCAGTTTGGAAAACAGTGGTATACCAAAACCACTTCCTACTTACTTTTTCTGTTGTAATCATAGCTCCAATAGGAACCCCACAAACACTGTAGGTAGCACTAGTAATAGCTTAGTTTATGAATGTAATAGGGTGCTACCTGAGCACCCTCATCTCTGTACACATATGTTTTATTTAATGGAAAAGGTTCAAATACTCTCCTGAACTTTTCGAAAAGGTCTAAAAATAACCTCTATTAGAAGTTTGGCCCATCACCCAACTTGTCGTTACACTATCGGGCTACATAACCCCTTTGTTTTAAACGACTACCATAGTGGATTAGTCATCCACTCAAAATATGATATTTTGGAAATTAATATACACATAAAATTTTATTTTAATGCCCAACCCTACCTGTTACCCGACCCTAAATAAAATAACCATTCTCTTAATACCCTCCCGAATTTCACTTCACTTGAGAATTAGGAATAGCTATTCTTCTCAATCACCAACTCACAAAGTTGGTGTTATTTCCGGCGCAAATCTGGACAACCAAGTTAGGGTTAGTATTCCCACCATCTTTCACCATTCAATTCCCAAAATATGAGCCAGGGATCTTCGAGTTCATCATATGGTTCGAGGAGAAAATGCTGTTATGGAGTTGTTGCTAGCCAATTCACTGCTTGGACTCCAAATAATGCCGGCAGACGATTTAACAAGTGCTCAATGCCTAATGTAAATTTTATAACAATTATTTGTGTATTTTTGCTTAGGTAAATAATGTCGGTAGACGAAAATTATCGATAATTTAATTCTAATTGTTGCGCAGGGACAGAAATGTAAGTTCTGGGAATTAGTAGATGATGAACTTCCTGTTAGAGTTACAGCACTGATCAGTAACTTAAAGAATGAAAATGAAGCTCTTAGACGTGAAAGGAATCTCCTGCTGATGAAAGTTGTCGAGATTGAAAGTGTCTTAGCAGGGGATGTTGCAAAAATTGAAGATTTCAAGGAATTAGATGATGTTAAAGGAGACAAGGATGTTTCTAAGGAAAAAATGGATGGAGGTTTAGTGTCTGTGAAGGAAAGTAGTCCAAACAAATGAAATATCATTGGTATGGTATGGTGTTGCTTCGTTGGGTTCATGTGTGCTTGGATGATAAAATATCTACCTTAAGATCAACCAAAGTTTGGGTGTATTTGATATATTTAAGTGATTATGTAACCTATGTTCAAACAAGGTTTATGTATAATTGACATAGTTAAGGTTTAATTTATGTTTTAAGTGTTTATTCTTTTGGACAACATGTGTATTCGCAATCTATATTTCTTAAATGTACATTTATAATCTATAGTACTTTGTATAGATTTTCCCTATATGCTTTTGGACAGCATGCGTATATTGTTGTATCAGTCCAATGTTGCTGTTATAACACTATAAATAGTGAACTGTTTATAAGATGAAGCATATTGTAGCAGTTGTTATGGAGGAGGCAAGAGAAGCATATTGCAACAGTTAAATAGTAAACCTGTTTCAGCAGTTGCTGCTGCTTATGCTGTAGCAGTTGCTGCTGCTTATATAGCAACAGTTGGTCTCAAACAACTAAGGCAACGGAACTTAACCAAAAAATTGATCTCAAATATAAATAGACATAACTAGACAGATTTGCAGAAAAAGATTTGCATAATTGATCACAAATTAGGCATAATAGATCTCAAACATAAGTAGACATAATTAGACAGATTTGCAGAAAACAGAATTGCATAATTGATCACAACTTAGACATAATAGATCTCAAACATAAGTAGACAGATTTGCAGAAAACAGAACAGGGCACATAGGCCTCCACAGCTTTGTACATAGCCAAAAAGGTTTCATCAATACCATGCTTAACCATCAGAAACTTAACCAACCCCAAAAAATGGTTAACTACTGTTTGTTAACTAACTAAACATAACTGTTTAATAACCAATCACAACAAAAAACATAGTAATTGTCTTCAAAGAAGATCTTCATCATCAAGTGCAACTTCGTTTGCCCTTTGTTGCCATCATCTTGATATTTCTCTTTCTTGCCTCAAATGAGACTTGGCTTAATGAGATTGATGCTTTTTCCTTCTATGTCAGCTTAGTTGGAGAATAAGGAAGATTGGCAGGTGTCGAAGCCCCAGTGTGATCTCCAGCAAACTTAATTTTTCTTGCCCTAGTTTGTAGGTCCTCTTAGATTGCCCCTCTCAATTCTTGACTGTGTTTCTGAAATAATCATTGGCCTAAGTGGAGGATCTTCTCATTGTCAACTTCTGGACCATATGGTGTAAACTCTTGGGTGACAACAACTGGTGCAACATCAATTTGTGACTCTTGGTCACTATCCATTGCACTAGATTTTTGAGTTTGACTGCCGCTTGCACCAGTTCTTGTACTAGATTGAGAATTGTTTCCAGCAGCCTTAGGCTATTAACAAGTAAAAAAAAATGAAGTCAATTTAAGTAGTATTGTTATAGATTCAAACAATATGAAAAACTTTTACCTTGTAACAACCCCTTGCATTGTGGTTTGGCTCGCCACAATTACTACATGTCATCTGTGTCCCCTTCCTTGATTGACTCCACTGCCCTATCCTTTTTCTTGCCTCATCTAGTTCCCTATTTCTTTTCACTTTGGGTCTACCAACTTGCTTCACAGTATCAGGAGGTAACATGGCTTGTGAAGGTTCAACTTTCCAGAACTGCCGACCCTTAACAAGCTGAAGTTTTTCCTTATATGTTAGCAAGTATGCTTCTTTACTATACCACCAATGGATTTCACCATCAGGCTCTACTCTCTTATGCATCATTACCTTTATTGCATGAGGACAAGGAATGCCAGATAAATCCCATAACCTACATGTACACCTTCTCTGTTGTAGATTAACAGTGTGTCTATCAATTCCTTCAGACACTTCATATCCCCAATCTCCATTGAATATGACTTTACAGACATGTGTTATGGCCCTCCAATCACTATACAACTTCAAGCAAGCTGGACTATATTCTGCATTCCAACTACTCACCTTACCTCATTGTCTCCTAACAACACCATCACTTTCACTCTTATGTCCTCCAACATTTTGATAATTGGTTTTCCTCTAGCCTCAAGAATCCAGGCATTAAAAAATTCAGTGAAGTTGTTATCAACTATCATATTCTTACATTTAGTGTCAAGATAAGCCCTGCTCCATGCCCTTGGGGGATACTTTAAGATATCCTTTGCAACATCTTCTGACAGATCACCTAATTTTTTCAATTGGTCTTTAAACTCCTCATCATATGAACTCCATGCACACCCCACCATAACAACTTTCTCATTTCATCATTTCTCCATTTTTTGCACCAATTGGCCTCAATATGTCTCACACAATACCTGCGGTTAGCCTCAGGAAGTACTGGGATAACAACATCCAACAAACCCTGTGAAGTGAATCAAAAACAGAGAATCAAAGAAATCAAAGAGTGAATAGACTATTAGAAACATAAAATCAAAGAAATCAAAGAGTGAATCAAAAACAAAGAATCAAAAACTATTTGCCTTTTGCATATCTGATATGAATGTGATTCTTGCACCAGTTTTAAGCTCCAAAGACAACTTCAACATCTCCATGAACCAACTCCAAGTCCTGCTTGTTTCCTTGTCCATCACAGCCCACACTAGTAGGTAGAAATGATTCATGGAATCTTATCCTAATGCCACCAATAACTGACCTTTGTTCTACCAATTAAGAATGCACCATCTACTCCAATTAATGGTCTCAAACCATTTTTCCAGCCTTGCTTCAAAGCATTAAATCTTAAGTACATTCTCAAAAAATTTTACTACCTTCTGTTAGTGCATCTTTGGAAATATTTATGACTACATCACTTCCCTAATTAGACAATTTAATTTCTTGACAGTATGCCTCAAGTTTGTTGTAGTCATCTATAAAACTACCCTCTAGTTTATGAAGAACCAAATTCTTATCCCTTTTCAATTTGGATCTATTCACATTCAACTTGAAATCATGTTCAAGCTCACATATCATATCTTTAATCATGTATTTAGGGTTATTTTGGACCTTACTCTTAAAATACTGAGCTAATGTGGCATAATCAACTCTAGGATTCTTAAAGGCATCCTCACATGTGTGTATATCCTTCCAGGTTTTAATCTTGAGCCCACTAGTTTTCCCATCTTCAGAAATTAGACACTTAAAGGGACACCCTTCTTGACAACCATACCCGGTTCTTTTTTTCACATTTAATCAACTTCAAAGCCTTTTTGTTAGCTAAAGCATAGAAATTTACAGCCTGCCTGCCTTCATTTATGTCTTTAAATGACATACCTAGCTTCAACTCCTTATAGTTTTCCAACTATCATCTACAACCTCCTCCTTTCATAGCTAATACCCTCCATTTCATCAAAATTATACTCCCTACCATCTGAAGGTTCACATTCACCACCAGAACCAAGACTATGTTCACAGTCAGTACCAACCTCAACATCTACATGATATGTTTCTATATGGTTTATGATATGTGGAGCAAAAACAGTGGACTTACTCTCATCAATAACAAGGAAATTTAAAACCTTGAATTTGTTATATAATAAGCAAAGAAGAGCCCTGATACTCTCATCACCTTCTACCAAATAATACTTACCCGAAGGCCCAACCACTAACAATTGTTTAACTTTGACAAACCCTAATCTAGAGGTAAACTCATCACATATATCCTTATAACACAATAAATCAGGATCAAATGATGTCCATAAGTGCACAAGTTCCTCACAGTATACTAGGTCAGGTGAAAATAACCATTTACCCCCATAGTTGAACACAATATCAACCTCTGAAACCATTATTCGAAAGTTAGAAAAAATAGAAAACAATAAAAACAAAGATGGGACCACATCAGAAAAGATACTTATAAAGATAAAGTATGGAATAAAAAACCTTAAAAGACAAATCTGTGATCGGGACAACCAAATCCCCAACAAAAAACACGAGAATAAACAAAATCCAGCAATAAACAAACATATACGTATAAAGATAAAACATGGAATAAAAAAACACTAGAAGACAAATCTGATCTCGGAACAACCAAAGACCCACCAAATCCCCAACAAAAATACAAGAATACACACAATCCAGCAATAAACAAACATATATAATGCTTTTTAACAGACAAACATTAACTCCACTAAATCACATGTTAAAACGATTTTAATCCTAAAACCCTAACCCAACAAGAAAGTGTAACAAAAAAGAAGCTAAAGTAACTTACCTTGACCAGAAGAGTAAAAAATATGTTGTAAATTTTAGCAGAACCCTCCTTCGATTGGCATTCCTTGACATATGCAGAAACCCTATTAAGAGAAGGGTTATTTCGGATCGGGTAACGGGTAAGGTTAATGGGTAGGGTTGGACATTAAAATAAAATGTTATGTATATATTAATTTCCAAATATCATATTTTGAGTTGATGACTAATCCACTATGGCATATGGCAGTCGTTTAAAACAAAGGGGTTATCCAGCCCAATAGTATAACGGCAAGGTGGCCGATGGGTCAAATTTCTAACGGAGATTATTTGTAGACCTTTTCAAAAAATCCAGGGGTTTTTTGGACCTTTTCCGTTTAGCTAATGCAAATTATCTTTCCGACCCAAAAAAAAAACTAGCTTAACAAAAGAAGAAATTCCCCACATATCTTAGATGCTTGATAATAATAATAATAATCTATTCATCTTATCTAAAGTTTTTTTTTTAACTTGACCTGAAATTATTAAGTGTCCTCTCGTAGGTATTTATATATTTTGATGTCAAGTTAAAGAGTTTAATAATCAGAGGCGGATTCAGAATTTAAACTTTATGGGTTCATCTTTAATGTTTTTAGCGTTGAATCTATTATATTTTTAAAGTTATGGGTTCATTTCTACTAATTTTGCAATTTTAATGAATTTTTACATATAAATTTTTACTCTGTTGAAAATTATGAGTTCAATTGAACCCATTATTAATTCACTGCATACGCCCCTATTACTAATAGTGTATAATGAGAAAAATCATATCTAATAGTATTTAAGAATATGTATTCAAATTTTTGTACGTAATAATGAATTAGGAAGGAAAATATATTTATATAGGCTAAAATTTAATTAAAATGAATATGGAAAAAACCTTGTTTACTTCTTAAATAATTCTAGTTTGATATGAAGTAGATATGTATTACATCTACATACATGGTACATACACATGGGATTTATAAAGTACAAATGTATATATGTATATACTCTTTTTTTTATTTTCTTTTGAAGAAAGTGAATGAAGAAATTGTTATTCGTGTAGATATTCTATATGGACGTGTACATAACTACATATGGCAAAATTTTGTATGAAATTTAGGAAGCCAAGGATTTTTGCAAGGTAACATTTTCCTTAATTTAAAGTACTAAACATTATGACTTCTATATAGTTCATAAGAAAACATTTAATAAGTAAAGTTTTAATTGGGTTCAAATTAAGATCCTAATTATTAATAGAATAATTAAAGAATTTTATTATTTAATGTAAAATCTATATTTAAATGGTAAAAAACGATAAACAACCAAAAGTTTGGTGTGATATAAGCTTTTATTTTGTATCACCTTTAGGGGTCGTTTGGTAGGAGGTATTAGAAAAAATAATGCAAGCATTAGCTCTATGCATTATTAGTACCTTGCTTGGTACATTTTTTCAACATGTGTATAACTAATACTACATCATACTTGGTAGTATCCTATGCATTAGTAATACATAGAAAACCATGGCATTAGTAATACCAAGGCTATTAATACATGCATTAGTATGTTTAAAGACAAAATTGTCCTTAGAGTCCATTAAAGTTAGAGAATATGGAGGACATTTTTGTAAACAACTATTTTTCTTAAAAATTATGTAATGCATTATAATTTTAATACACCACACCAAACACTAGATAAGAAAAAATATATGCACAACTAATGATTGCATTACTAACACATGCATTACTAATCCATGCATTACTAATACACCTTATTCCGTATTATTCTTATACATCCTACCAAACCACCTATTAGTATTTTTTTTCGTCCTAACGCATTGTCTATCATTACAATGAATATATCGTTGATAAGAACTGTTAAGTGAGGAAACAAGAAATAGTAGAACTATAATAGAAAGAATAAAATAATATAAGTTTTTTTCTTATAACTTATTATTCTCTTATTTCATCAGAAAAATTAGGAAAATTATGCTTCCCGATACATTGTGTTATAAAACAATAAAAGAAAAAGAACAGTATTGTAAAGAAAAGAAAAGTAGGGAGAGAGAATTCTTATTGATTTGAGATGAATTGCAAGGGAATAGAACCCTTTTATTTATAGGGGAAAAGCGGTTAAGTCACCAAGTAACAAAACCTACGATCTCTCTAAAATATAGACATTCACCATAAATAAAATACTATTTATAACACTCCCCCTTGAATGTCTATTCAACGGATAATGTGCCTCGTTAAAATCTTAACTAAAATAAAATCCAGTGGAAAAAAATTCTAGTGAAGGAAAAAGAGTACACATATCTAACAATACGCCTTCTGGTTGCCTCATTAAAAACCTTGCAAGGAAAACCCGATGGAATAAAACCTTGTAAGGGAAAAAGAGTACAACACGTATTAACTCCCCTTGATGAGAGCATCAATTCACATCCTTGAGCTTTCGCATTCCAATCTTGTGCACTAGCTTCTTGAAAGTTGACGTCGCTAGAGATTTGATGAATAAAATAGCCATATTAACTCCAATGAATATATTGCACCTTAAAAATCCTCGCTATCACATTCTCATGCTTATAGTTATAGCAAGATACATATGTGTGCAAATAGCACTTAGGATATCGTATTTCAGGACCAAGAATTGTATATGCTTTAAGCGATTTAAATCCTTCAAAGATTGTCATATAAGTCAAGTCATATAAGTCATATAATAGACTTTAATTAGATACATATCAAGCTTTCATGTCATGCTAGACAAATAAAATATCGAAAACTGATTGCACATATCATTGACTTTATACTTTCAAGTGTTTGAACTACATATCTAAAACTACATGTCTTTCGTATGAAACCAATTCTATATGAATTGTGTCTCTTCTATTTGGCCAGTATTTTTGTATCTGTATTCCACAGACTTTGAGGACCTCATCTATACTTAGCGATATAATAGATGTTGTCGACGAACATTTAATATCGGTTCCAATATTTTTTCGTAAAGACATAACATAGAGATCTCTTTATTCATAGTTTCAGGTACCTGAACCTCTCCTGAGATTTTATGAAGTATTATGTCATGTGATCTTCTAGATCACTTGCCTCCTTATTATGATTATTTTGATCATTTGCTCATCTTCTTTATCAAGAATTTTATTTGAAACCGTTTTGTCTATATGTTTTAAGAGTACCATAGACTTTGTCCTTCTAGGACTTATTCTAATAGGAGCATTTTCAGTGAGAATATAGTTACTTTCTTTGGGTCAGCAAATGCGTCTGACATGCTTTGCAATATATTACAGATGAATTATCTTTTTATGAACTTTAAGTTCATATTATCTTATTCAAAAATTAAGATGTACAAATGATAATTCATTTCACGTAACTTTTTCTCAATTGTTTATCCTGTCTCCCCCGTCATTTTAGAAAAAACTAACTTGCTTCCTCAACTTTGGAAGTTCATCTTTGTGTGTTATGGTACTAATCAAAATACACATTGCACATTAATAATAATACGATGGAATTATTTGGTTCATACCCTAAAGCACTTGTGAGGGGAGAATGTAATATACTTTCGTATTTAACATATATCAAACTGATATAGATAACTTTATTCTCATAAGGAATAGTTTAACTATTAAATGGAGGCACTCAATAAATCATCTTGCTAAACGAGTTGTGATGTAAACCAACTTATCAAGATAAACTATCTTGAATAGAAAATTTGAAAATTATGCTCTAAATTAAATTATTGAGCAAGTTACCTCGCAAACATCAGGTTGCGGGTTAATAATAATCGCACATGTAACCATCTCATAGATACATCTTATGTGGTATACATGGTAGGTGAATGAGCCCATATTCACCTTTGATATTTTCAGTATTCATGAGATTCAATCCCAATTTTAATTGGTCTATTAATTAATGAGAACAACAAAAGAGAATTTGTACATAATTTTCTATTTTTTTTAATATTTACCCATGCGAAGTCTCTTTTATTTTTTGCACATCATGCCTAAATTAACATGGCTAAACCAATTATGCCAACTGAATAAATTATCAATATTGATAAACTTCGAGTTTATATCATGACGTGTGCAATTATGAATCAACTCCAAGTTTATTATGATATGGATTTTTATATCAATAAATTTCTACTTTATTGTGGCATTCTTTTGTTTGTGTAGTACAAACTGAAGAATAAAGTGTGTAACTTTTCATATACATATTACCCTACTACAAGTTGTAGTAATAGAAGATATTAAATCTTTCCTTTATTTGTAGTCTCAATATAACCAACCGCTTTCGCGAATACTTTAGAAACTTAATAAGTTTCTTTGAGACTTACTACAACACAATGCCTTATTGATAATCAATTTTATTCATCAAAAACGGTAATAATTGGCTCTTCCAGAGCTCTCAATTAATTTTGTACTACCACATATTCATCAACATCCATATGGTGAATATCTCTTGATATTAGGCTATATAAACGATATTTACATCCTAAATGTACCACGCTTTATTGTTATTTTGAATGCTAAATGATAACAAAATGCTCTAATTAGTGTTCTTTTGCTTCGCAGGGACTAATCCAAGTTAGGAAGTACTATGGAGTGTTTTGGAGTCAATAATGTGAAGAAAACGTCCAATCAAGAAGCACCCGAGCGGAACGAAGCAAAAAGTGGACTGGGTTGGAATCCACCGCGACCGCGGTGGACTGCGGAAGGCCAAAGACGCGAGGCAGAATGTTTGTCTCTCACCGCGGTCGCGCCGCGTTCTGCCGCGGCCGCGGTGAACTGTGCAGTTGCCCAGAACTTTTGGGACCAAAGTGTAACTCGGGGAAAACTTATTCCAAACCCTTATAAACTCAAGAAGCTCGCCCAAGAAAGGATCAAATTTATTTTTAGACTATTTTGGAGGCAAGAACAAGTGTGAGAAGAGCAACCAAACATTAAAGTTTTTCTATCTTCTCTTTATTATTGCAATTACACATTATGAACAATTTAGTAGTTTCATCTTGTTTTGTTATGAGTAGCTAATTCCTTAGTCTAGGGTTTTGATGGAACCTATTGAAGGATGAACTTCTTGTTATGTTAATATAGTTTGCCCAGCTTAATCTCTATTTGTTCAACTACGTTCTTGTTGTAGTTAATTGATAGGATCCTCAATTAGCTGTGCCTATTTAGTGTGCATAACTCGGGAGAGAGTGCATATAGGTAATTGTTGAACAACACCACTCCCAAAGTATATGAGGGATCAATAACCGAGGGTTTAAAGGCGAGATTAGGGATAATGAAGCCTTGTGTGCAATCTAAAATGAGCTGCAATAAACAAAGTCAGCTAGCGTAACTCGGGAGAGTACGTCTAGTAAATTGTCGCGATTACTCGGGAGAGATTTACGGTAATAAGAGTGATCATGATTGATAGAGACGATTAGGTGAATCTATGTGAAACATAACCAAAAGGGATTCCATCAATAGAGGAAATCATAACCTTAGATCTTTCTCTTAAGGCGAAATACATAGATTACCCCCCGAACTATGGACCAAATCCCTGTTACACACTTTTTGCAAACGAAAATAACTTTACACACTCAACCTTTACAGACTGTTCCTAATACACACCACTTTTTTCTTGACCAGTTTTTCAAAACGTGTATAATGTCACGCTCCAATGATATAGTGACACGTGTCATTAACATATTAAAAAAAACTTTAAATTATAATTAAACCCATATTCTTCATCAAATATACCACCATGGCTGCCATCTCTTCGACTCCCATTCAGATTTCTCTACATCTGCTAGTTCTATTTTCACCTCATTTTCTCCATTATCTTTCTTACCTTCTTCTTCTTCGTTATTTTCTTTTCGAGCAGGTGATTCCCAAAATTGATTATCAAGATCCGCCATTTTCATAGGATTAGATCAACATCTCATTATAAGCAAACCATTTTTAGGCGGAATGAAAATGCTTACTCTGGCTTTCTACTCTTCCGCTACTTTTAATTCCTTCATTTCAACAGTATTCTCAATATCCCAAAAAAAATCTCAAAATAATTTGGACAAACCCAGAAAATCCCTCTCCACCTTTAAAATTCCAAATACCATCAAGCTTCATTATTCATTAATAAACTCTTCTTAATTTTTAGGGAGGAGTTTCGGGAAAACAAACAGGGATCTTGGGACGATGGAAAAAAAACAGGGGAGGTCTTCTGATTGTTGAAAAAGAACAAAACAAAGTAAAAGAAATGAAATAAAAGAAAGGAAAGGTAAAAGAAAAATTATTTTAAACCGTTGGATAAATTTTATTTGATGCGAATCGTTCAAATAAAGAGTCAGATAAGTTTTTTTGTTCCTTCACGCGCCTCATTTTTGTTTGTAAACCACGCACTGGCCATGTAGGCATAGTAGTGTGTATTAGGTACAGTCTATAAAGGTTGAGTGTGTAAAGTTATTTTTGTTTGCAAAAACTGTGTAACATGGATTTGGTCCATAGTTCGGGAGGTAACCTATGTATTTCGCCTTCTCTTAATTGTTTATAACTTAATCATAGTTAGTCTTTATTTGCTTATTTACAGTCAGTCTTAGTAGTAGAAACATCCTCAATTGTTATTCAAAACGTTTGGGAAGTTGATTACGTAGAATTTCGTAAGTCTAACGAGAGTAACTGATAGGTTAATTTCTTGTGGGTTCGACTCTGGACGAAATACTCAGATTATATTTGCAACGTTTGCGTGTCCTTTTTATAAGGCATATTTGGGCGTGATAATCTCTTTTAAAGAGAAAGTTATACCATTATGATTATGGTCAAAATTATATGCAAGATCCGTTTTTACGTTACCATTGTCTTTTAATAATCACATTGCCAAAATATTTTGGCATACAATAAGTACGTGACCAACGACCATTTATGCCATATAATGACATTATTTTCTTATTTCCTCTCAAACCTCATTCTAGAGGTAAGTGTGGTATATTTACTACCACTAGCACGTTCATATTCTTCTAAGAATGAATATGTATTCATAAATCACATTGTCACATTCACATCATCAATGAACCGTAATCATCTATATGTGCTTTACAAAATCTCATGTCAAATCAATGACAAATATTACTTTCACAAAGTGGGGGATTATTTTGAGAATCCTTATTGTTCTCATTACCACAATGATGACGATTATAATTTTGTCTATTGCCACATCCACATTCATTGATACATTCATCGTAATAATTTTGTCTTCTTTCAGACTTATCACATACTGCTATCACATTCTTTTAAGGGAATGAGAATGAAGCAAATTCAATGAGACGAGTTTCTAATTTTTTGCCCACAATCATACATGAATTTGATCATGGCAAGACATAGAATTTTTATCACTTTGGGTGGTTATAATTTCTTACTAACTCCATTAGAGTTATAATCAAAATTTATTGTCTTTGCTTGTATTTAAAATCAAATTAAATAATAAAAGAGAAAAATACGGTAAAATACTTACCTTAAATTCAGAATTTAATCATGAAGGAAGTTCATTGAACAATTGACAATCATTATGCTCAATCCCAAAGTTTCTACTCAATTGGTTAGAGTCTCATGCTGATAACGTGTTATAAAACAATAAAAAGAAGAAGAAAAATATTGCAAGAAAAGTAGGGAGAGAGAATTTTTATTGATTTGAGATAAATTACAATGGAATAGAACCCCTCTATTTATAGGAAAAAGTGGCTTAGCCACCAAGTAACAAACCCTAAAATATCTCTAAAATATAGACATTCACCATAAATAAAATACTATTTATAACACATTGTCATTAATTAACGAAATAAAAGAATTGTCATAATTTGAGGTGTAGTTCATTAACATTAATACTTATTTACAAAAAAAAAACAATGTAAAAATATAAAAGGCAGAATAGCCTGGGAGGCACTTGTACTTGTTCCAATTTGTCATTCCGGTCCCTACATTCCATAAAGTTTCATCTAGACACTTCAACTTAATCAAAACAAGACTTTTAAACCCTTCTGACCGTTGACCGAGCTTATGTGACATTGATATGGCTGAGGTGGACAAAATAAGTGATTTACACGCACATTAGGTGCGTGAGTTGATGATTTTTCTTTATTAAAAAAAATAAAAAAAAAATAAATAAATAACCCTCTTCTTCTTCTTCTTCANCCCCCCCCGGCTCTTCTCCTCGTCTTCTTCTTTAGATCCCCTCCTTTCCTCTTTTTCTTTATCCCTTCTTTCATTAGATTTTTTCTTTAATGTGTATTTCTTCTTCCATCATGTCATCTTTCCCTTCTATATGACTCCTTTATTTTTTCGGTGGTTTTAGCTTTCAAATTTTTTCATAACCCTTTCAAATTGGGGTAGAGGAATAAGTCAAAATTCAAAAGACTTAATTCTCTGTTCATGTATTTTTCATGGATAGTTAACTTTCTTTAAAAGAGGAGTGAATGAAGTAGTGGTACTCATGGTGCAGAAGCGAGGTGGGTTATTCTTTTAAAAAGGTTGAGTGGGTGGGTTTGAAGAAGGGAGCAAATGTTTTCATTAGTTTTAATTTTATTTTTTTGCTTTTTTATTTTATTTTTTGTTTATAAAATTAAAATGTTGTTAAATAATATTATTTTGGCATAGAATTTGATGTGGATGCTTATTTGTCATCCACGTAAAGCAAGTAAGCATGACGCAATTTCGAAGGTGTTTAAAAGTCTTGTTTTAATTAAGTTATGGAGCGTAATGGACGGGATAACAAATAGAAACAAATACAAGTGTATCCTAGCTATTCTGCCAATATAAAATGAAGCTATAGAGTTATCGGGAAAGAAGGGTTTTACTAATTTGCATTTTCCGCGAATGCAGGCACACCCCATTGTTTGATACTATAAATAAATTCAGAGAACTATAGATTCACCTCTTCGAAAATGGCGAATCAGCAACAAACACAGAGCCGTCTTGAAACAGTACCTCTTTTGGTGGTCATACTTATCGGTGCCCATGTCCTCGCTTTGGTACTTTCTCTTATTCTTTTTCAATTAGTAGTAGTAGTAGTATGATGAAAATCTGTGTGGGGTAGAGTATTTGATTCATTGTGATGAAATTTGTGTAGGTGTACTGGATTTATCGACTAGCAAATCAGAAGCAACCCCCGAGGCTTAAAAAGCACTAGGATTCAGTTATTTTTTCTGTCCTATGTCACTCTCTTCCTGTTGAAATTTTATGTTTGGGTATCTTTGAATTGCTTGAGATTTCAGTTGTTGAAAGTTGAATGGGGATATTTAGTTGTATATTTTTGTGCTTCAACTTGTACTGGGGTGGAATCCCTTTTTACAACAATCTCACTTTTGGTTAATGATAAGCAACTTTAGGTATTAAAATTTCTTGAGAATTTGGGTTCTTGAAATTTAATAGGGTAATCTATTAACTAACTAAGACATGAATATGAGCATTCTATTATATATATTTTGAATTGTTAAAGGTATTTCTTTGAAAATCTAGCAACAAGAAAGTGCTTAAAGGTATATACATAGGGAGCAGATTATCACTGCTGTAAGTGTAAAGAGCCCAAAATATCTATCATGCCTCACCTTAAATATGTCTGCAGCAAAGGTTCGAATATGTGACGAGTGCCCAACTCCCACATCACGCCCTGCCCTCTCACCTTGGGAGAATCTATTACTCATGATGAGTAAAATGTGATGAGGTAATCTAACTTTAGCATCTTTTTATTTGATTAAGAAGGGAAGAGGAAAAGAAGCAATGAGCTGTGTGTGCTTCTAGCATTTCAAACCTTCAGCATACATCACCACTTATATGCGGTTCCCAACTTTTGAGAAGCTACAGGAATCTAGATGAGGAATTATGAAGAAAAGAAGAACGAGTTTCCAAATTGGGTTCGCACTCAACAACTTTCATCTATGTGTTCTATATTTCCATTTAAGCTCAAGTGATCTTGATTTTTGATTGAAAGATTCATTTGAAATTGTGCATTTTCCTATATTATACTTTCTTCTACTCCTTGATCCAGTTTATATGCCACATTTTCTATTTTGGGATGCACCAAATATGATTTTCAAAAGTTCAATTATGTTCAATTAATTATTTGAATTTGAACTCCGATGAAATGCTGTTCTATCAAACTGACTTTTCAAGAGCTATTCAAACACTTTCATCCGCTTTACCTAAGATAATAACAAATCAAAACAATATTTTAAGCTTTGTGCAAATGGTTTTTGCATACATGGAAGAGTGGGAGTATTTGGGATGCTAATGACCCATCCAAGATAATGCATTTACCTTATTTTGGATTCGTAGTGGCTTAACAATTGCTTAAGATCCAGAGGGTTAGACAAAACTCTCTTCTTGTCAATTGAAGAATTTGGTGTGACAAAATCATGTGTTTCCTTATTCATTCCTTCGTTATTCTTTCATTGTGGTGGTTCCAGGCTTTTGTTTAATATAGTGATTTTACAGTCTTCACTCAAATTCAAATGATTTTTGTTCCTTTGAATTTCTTTTTAGATTTTGTGTTTTTTCTCTTTCCTTATATATTAGTAATACATACTAAAGCTTTGGTAGGATTGAGGAGTATAAAGCACTTTAAATATATGCAATGCTGGTAGTTATTTGGTGCTGTTGGTTTGAATTGTAACCTAGAACATCAAAGAGAAGTCAGTTATACTTGAGATAGAAATTTACTTTTCTGATTAAAAAAATAAATAAAGATTTACTTCAGTCCTCTGTGTAAAGTGTTTGGCATTTTTCATGATTTAGCCTTAACCTATCTGCTGTTTGATAATTTATTCTTGAGGACATACCACTCAAATAGTTTTCTCTTTGCCTTTGCTACTTGATATTTCTTTCTCACAAGCAACAAGGGTTGAAGATCAGAGAAGCAGTTCTACCAATGGAATGCATATCCTTCTGTGAGAGGTAGCTTTGAGGCCCTTTACCTAAACTGTAGATCTACCAAAAGTATAAACAAGTTCCGCAGATTTAGGACAGCAACCTCTCTTAGAATCCGTAAGCGCCTTATCTGGTTCTTAACTATCAAATGTGTTTTTTTAATAGGTAAGTATTGTAAAAAAGCGGCTCCAAGTTGGTGCATTGGGGCGTGCATTACAAAACTAACATATGAATTGACGAGAGAAACTGGCCTGATGAAGAAACACCAAAAGTGATACTGCGCTAATGTGTAGTTAGATCTTACGATTGGTTGTTTTCATCCTTTACCATGACTATGTTCGCTTCACCCAAAGACATCAAACCTAATCATGTCAGAAGAAGGTGTAATAGGGAAACACACAACATTGTTTTTTTTTTT